AGGGACAGAAAGTAGATGTGCATATCTCACGAGGGATGAACCCAATATCCAAACCGACCGTACATAACTGCTTTATCCTATACCAAGTAGAGTTTTCAGTAGCACAAGGTGTAAAAAATAAACAAATCATTCATATGCAAAGTCATTTTATTGCATTTCCACTTTTTTGAAGCGGGAAGATACGACCCAAAGCGGGAAGATATGCACCGAAGCGGGAGATATGACGGGAGATATGGAGGTTCTTGATATGGAAACCTCAAAATCAGGATACGGGATATATCTTACCAACTTATCTCCCTAAAACCCTACTTGGCATAGGATAAATCAAGATAATTTCTACTCGCATCTAGTCTATTCCACATGTTTGGGAAAAGTGTACAGGAAAATCTCCATGTTCAATTGATGTATGATCAACCCTCATAGGGGTCAATCCAGTTGTCCGAAACCCAGTTGTCCGAAACTCAATTCTCCGGAACCCAGTTGTCTGAAACCAAGTTCTCCGAAAATTAGGAGATCTTATCAAAAAATACAATTTATTAAAACGAATCTTGGCGCAACCTCTGCGAATCACGACAGCATAACATTTGAATCACGTTGACATCATTGTAAAATTAGGCTAAATATGCTGAGTCAAGACGTTAATTAGCCCACGAAAGTTCATGGGTAACTTGAGAACTACAAAATACAACCAAATACTTTTCGAACGTACAATAGCAATATTTCTCACCCAACGTCTTCATAGTTTTAGGAACGTATTTTAAACGCATGATAGCCAAATATATCAAGATACTATATCTGCCTAAATGAAGTTATCTAGTGTTGACAAAGTTTTGAAATATATTTTATCCAGATCCATCAGAAATTAACTTATCCAATACATTTGTTCATAAGAATTCTTTAATTCTACCTCGTTCCCAATACGTCCTCAGACAGACAAGAAATTGAAGTCACACCCGTTTGTTTGCGTGGCATATTTATACGTATACGCACTTTCTCTGATTATTGTCAAACAAATACATTTCAGGAGAAGAACATAAAAAACAAATGCCTGAAACGAATGCCGAAACATAAATCCCAAGTGATTAAGTTTAGAATGTTTTATTCTTTTACGATTTGATAAGAGACTGAGACTAAGAAATTAAATGCGACGAAATATTTTGACAACGTAATTTGTATACTGTTTTATTCTTAAAGTTCTATACCTTATTTTATCTGTTTCAAAATGTTTCATTTTATTTTGCCTATATAAAAGAGATTGAAGAAGATAAGATAAACTGTTCCGTAATATATATTGTGTTTTAATAACCTTTTTTAGAATCACAATGTAAAATAAATCTCCCGTTCCTGCCATTCTGGTAACGCCATGCAATGGATGCAATTCAAAGTGAGAGAGAGATCTATGAATATCAGAATGCGTCCATGCCATTAATTTGGCCAAATACATGGCATGAAACTGACGTAAGCTTAAGTAAGCTACGCCCCCCCCCTTTCTCTGGTAAATTATGACTTTATTTTTCGGAGTAATGGGTTTCGGACAACTGGGTTTTGGGGAATTGGGTTTCGGACAACTGGGTTTCGGACAACTGGGGTGTCAATATATACGAATCGAATGTATTCTCGTGTGCATTACAATATCCCCATTGAAACATTTTTGGCCTGCAATGGACGTATAATGAATTAGAATATGAGGCCGTGTTATCATTCTAATGTAAAATCATGGTATTTACTGTAGTATTGGGTCGCAAGTTAATATCAGATTCAATGCAAATTAATCATCTAATATCAGATGCGCGATCAGTCCAATAATCTAATTTCAGGTCATCAGTTCGATATCTAGCACTTGTTCTAACGACACGGTATTACTAGACTATCATATTATAAATACACACACATATAAAACAATCAAACTGGTACACGATATATGCACGACTGCTCTTTCAATTGAGTATAAATGTTGATAAACTTACCCGGAAGCCAAGACATACACGTTTAGACGATGCTATTTTCAGTTCTGTGTAAGAGTAAATGCCCGGATATCGAGGCTTTTTCGTGTAAAGTTTTAACCAAGCATCTAAAATCGGGTTATATTGCGTGTAGAATTTATCGATATCAGGGCCGCTACATGCCAGTGCTTTGAGGACTACTGTGATTTAAAACATTTCTTATCAAAACTGTAGCATTGGTAATCCTTGTTTAAAAGGGGGTTTTAACATGGTTTATAGTTTTTTTAATTTCTGGGAAAATGCATCATCTTATCTTATAACGTTTTCTTCAAGTACTCCCACTCTAAATGTTTTCTCGCTCTATTTTTTCTTACAAATAAACACAGATTTTTAAATTATTTTCTCAATTTATTTGTATCAATATAATAATATATTACAAAAGCTCATCAACACAGATCATTCAATTTGTCGCGCAAAATACACATTTAATATTTTGCCAGGCAAGGTCTATATTTCACGAGGCACAGGTTTAATTGCGCAGCTTACGATTTCTAATTTTCCATTTTTAGTTTATATGATGTCACAGAAACATGAACTGATGCATGTATTTCTTTTCAGCATAACTATGAGTGTGAAACAAGGTGGCATTGTTGCTGTGGTCGGTCAGGTTGGATCGGGAAAGTCTAGCTTGGTATCTGCCATGTTAGGGGATATGGTAAAAATTGACGGATCTGTGGACGTTAAGGTACTTCGAGTATTTTTCTTTTCAAATACTATGATTTTGCAATTACAATGATCCTACCAAATGAGTGTTTACTTTAATTAAAAACAGTCCACACCTGTTTACTTCATTTGATATTTAAAAATATTTTAATTAATAATTAATTTTAAAGGGGAAAATTGCGTACGTGCCACAGCAGGCGTGGATACAATTTTCAACTCTCAAGGAAAATATCATATTTGGCAAAGAGAAAAGCGAACGGCTATACAAAAAGGTGATCCAGGCATGTGCCCTAGAACAAGATCTGAAAATTCTTCCCGGGGGTGACCAGACAGAAATTGGTGAAAAGGTACTAAACGATCATCCTCTGATCGCAGGGCTCTAAGATCCCAAATTCTTCGGATCTTTGTACCAGCATTATTGGTACTAGATAGACCAATAAAATAAATGGTGCCATTTCTTTTTTCATTACTTTATTGACAATAATGTCATATTTACAGTGCCAGGGCAAAAATTCTGATTGAGTTAATGGATAGTGCTGTAAAGTATAACATATTTATGAACTAATTATGAATGTATACTCACGATTATATCCTGGTGTAATCTATTTTCCCTAGTTGTCATCAATTCACAAGGAGCGAGTTCAATGATATATGTAGACGTTTATTGATAAAAGGGCTGTGCTATTTTGTTCTAGGGTATAAATCTAAGTGGTGGACAAAAACAAAGGGTGTCATTAGCAAGGTCAGTGTACCAGGACTGTGATATCTATCTTCTTGATGACCCATTGAGTGCAGTTGATGCCCATGTTGGAAAACATATCTTTCAGCAAGTTATAGGCTCAACAGGAATTCTAGCTGGGAAGGTAAATAAATCCACGTCATGATTTCATGATTTATATATGTAAAATTGTTTGTGCACTTAACACAATTAAATCATAAATGCTATTAGTTTTAATAACTAGTAACTATACCAAACTTTGCAAGGTTGAGGACTTGCTCTTTATTATGGGCATCTGTTCTAGTGGGAACGCAGAAATATTCAGGGTTTTGTTGATAACCACATACATGTCAATTCCAGACAAGAGTCTTAGTTACCCATGGAGTGAATTATCTACCTAAAGTCGACAAGATCATTGTTCTGAAAAATGGAAATATAAGTGAGATGGGTACCTATGAGGAACTGCTGAGTCATGATGGCGCATTTGCGGAGTTTATTCGAACATACCTAAATGAGCACGAGGATGAAAGTGAAAGCGAAAGTGATGCTGAGAGTAATAATATGGTTTTATTCTTCTAATTAATATTGGATGATATTTTTCATTACTTTTGAAATGTGATGTTGCTAGAACCGTAAATTACCAAATGGTCCCACTTCCAGCCCTGTAGCCAGCTTTTGCTAAGTGGGGTTCACTTTTCAAGAAATTCAAAGAGGGGTTCACAATCTCTAGCCCAAAACTCAGAATGGTGAAAATGGTGAAAATGATGCATGATTTTGGTAGAATTTGGGGTTTTGGCCAGGGGGCCTTGGTCTGTTTAATCACTGTAAGAATAGTTGTATAGTTTTATGTCCAAATTAATAATTGCAAAAACGTCAATCCAGGTGTTGCGCATATCAACGAATTACGACAAAGACTCACCTCTATGTCGGGCTTCTCTGGCCTCAGTGCCGATGATACCGCTGCAACTATGACGAGCGAGGGTGAATATTCCGAAGGCCAGCAGATTCGCAGACGGTATTTCTATTTGATATTTTATAATCAGAGATTTTGTCGCAGTATCATCATACTTTCATTGGAAAGGATTGGTATCGATATGGCGAACCGAATCCAACATTGTTTTTCTCTCAAACCTATTTTTGATGTCACTGAATGACAACAATTTAATTTAAATTATTTATATATGTTTGATATTATGGTTTTACTTTGTTGGAACAAAATAGCACATACAACATTTTCTTAGACCTCTCAATATCATAGTTATACAAAGGAAAGTACGTTTAAATAAATAAAAATTAAAGTAAAACTAATTTTATTTCATAAACAAGTTACTTTTTTAAAATAACCAAACTTTCCTTTGTACAATTACAATATTGAGAGATGTTCCATTTCATTCCGAACATATGGTTCCGAGAACAAAAAAAAATATTTGATATCTCGTTTAAGAGAAACATGTGTTCAATTCAGTTCGTCATATCGATACCCATTCTTTCCCCAGAATTGTATTAGTAGTTATTTCTTTTATGAAATTATTTCATGAATTTTGTTTAATTCGTAAGTATATGATACGAGAATGGTGTGATTGTCAATGTGTTTCATGTACTTGTATGATTTGGTAGGCGAAGAAAGAAATCGATTACCCTTTCAAAGTCAATTGAGTTGGAAAAAGAGAACATTGATAAGCAAATGAAAGTGGCCAACAAACTTATAGAGGATGAAACATCAGAAGAAGGAAGTGTGAGTACAAAGATTATCTATTTACCCTTTCGAATAACGGGGCTTTTGAAAATTCTGGCCCTTTATTTAAAAAATTCAGGCATTGATAGAAGTATGCAATTTAGAGAAATTGGGAAAATATGCTGACCTGAAAAGGCCAATTTTAGAAAAATAAATACAGCTCTCAAGTATGGGAAAGGAGCCAAGCCCAACTTCACCCTCCCCCCCCCCCCCACCCCCAGATTCGCCAGGGCCCTGTGTCATCATTTAAGCATTAATCATATACCATCTCATTACGTCATCGTCTGACGTTCGTTTAACCAAATTTAACAATTATTTCAGATCGGCCTTAAAGTTATCAAAACATACGTTTATGGTGGTGGTTATCTGTGTTTCTTCTGGGTGTGTCTATCAGTGTTGGTGTACACTGGCTCACAGGTATATGCGAATGTTTGGCTAAGTGCATGGACCGCCGATCCATTGGTGAATGGAACAAGACCTAAACAGGATACAGATTATCGCCTGGCTGTATATGGGGTTTTAGGACTTGTCCAAAGTAGGTGTATTGTCAAACTAAGAAATTGAATAAATCAATTCATTTTTAGAATTTTTTTGAACAAAGATAACAGATGGTATATTGGAATTTGAATCTTTACGCCCACCTTTCATATGGTAAATTCGGCGAATTGCCTCGTTTTTCAAAAAACATACTTTTATTGCTCAGGTTTATCTGCGGTCTCACCAACAGGAGTCGTCAAATAACATTGCTAAAGTTCAATTTGATTTTTGAATATCGATTGTAGTTTAATTCACGTTATCAAGTTTACACTAGAAACTAGGTTAGGAAGCCACCGCCGAAATAGCTCAGTTGGGAGAGCGTTAGACTGAAGCGGGTGACATCCTTGATACGCCAGGAATCTAAAGGTCTGTTGTTCAATCCCGGGTTTCGGCAAGGAACATGGCTTAATTTTTTTATTTTCGCATAACTCTGATGACATTTCAGTTATTCCAACGCTATCAATGGTATTCCGATTTGTCCCCCACCTCTGGGACTTTTTAAAAGTAGTTTTCGAAACGGATCCCTTTCGTCGGAAACTCGATGGTACAATTTTTCTTCACGAGTTGTAGGCAGAATTCATTTTTCTTTATTTTTTATTCAGCAGTAATATAATATTTACAATATACTATTTAGCTTGATATGATGAGTTAATATAGATTATCGAAACAAATGTGCACAATTCTTCCGTTGAAAGTACAGAAACTGTTGCGGCTGATTTCCTTGCTTCACCAGGAATCTATAGGTCACTGCAGTCCCCGGTGTAAAAGGGTGGGAGGTCCTATCAAATTATGGTCCAACTCTCCATTGATTTATATTTGACCTCAATACAACTCTTTTCCTCATTATCTTATACGCAATCAGGGCCAGTAAGGGCCGTTAAGAAAGGGGACCATAATCCCTGGGGGAGGACCATCATTTCTTTCACACCAGATTTCTGCAAGGAAAAATGGCTTAGAAATTTTATTTTCGACTCAGCTCTGATTATGTATGTATTTCCAGTTATTTCAACTTTGTCAATGGCATTTTCTCGTGCACTTGGGTTTGTCAGCGCCTCTAGGTTTCTTCACAACAAACTCGTTAAAAACATCCTCCGCTGTCCAATGAGCTTCTTCGACACTACTCCCATGGGCAGAGTGCTCAACCGGTTTTCTAAAGATTTGGACATTGTTGATATTACACTGCCGCAATACATCATGGGCTGGTTGGCTAGCGTTGGCCCTATGATCGCTACAATTGTCGCCATCTCATACAGTACCCCTCTCTTTCTTATTGCTCTTTTGCCACTCTGTATCTTCTTTGTTGTCGTTCAGGTAGGCAATATGTACGCTATTCTCGCATTGTGTTTCTCATTTTTGGGTGAATATTCAAATAATAAACCAGATCTTGTGATATATGTCGTATTCGTATGAGTAGTAGATCATGCATTTCTGAGACAAGCCAAATCAGCCATCTTTAATATTCTTCTATTTTCTTATTCATTTATTTCCTTTGTGCAATTACAACTGAAAATTGAAAATTGAAATTGAGAATGGTCAACATGTTTTCAAAACGACCTTGTTTTGGGTTTGTTTAATAATTAGTAATTACATGTCTATATTCATTTTTATATCTCTACAATATTATAGCCAGTCTATTATAAAGATACACTTCTTATGACTGAAGTAAAATTATGAGCTAAATTAAATAATATAATTTAATTCATCTACAGATTCATGGCATTTGTTATAGAGATTATACACAAACACTGCGAGGCAACTAAAACGGATTGAATCTGTCAGAAGGTCCCCGATATTCTCACATTTTAGTGAGACGTTGACTGGAGTAAGTTCGATCCGTGCATACAATCGTTCCGAGGATTTTGTGATAAAATCTGAGAAATTGTTGGACAATAGTCAACGAACTTGGTTTCCAGTAATTGCTTCATATAGGTAAGCGTATTTTGCGCGCTGTTATTTTCATGACTTCATAAAGTAACATCAGAAAGGATAGGATTTCGTTCGTACCGAGGAATAACACATGGGTTCACTCTTTAAAATTATTACTTGGATTTCCTTATATTGAGAAATTGTACTGCTCATTTTAAGTCAAAAATTACTTAAATAATCTTGAACTACTGAATAATTTTTAAGTAATTTTTAAGTAATTCATTTATGGTGAATTTACTAATGCAAGGAGAGAAATTGAAATACTTACTGTAGTAATTGTAATGCTCATTTACATAATTAAGCAATTAAAAAACTCAAAATGACAATATAAGTTAAACCTAAGTGAAATGAAGTAAAACTAAGTATTTAACTTTAAGTAATTTTTATACTTGGGAAATACTTGGGAAATACTCAAGTAATTCATTTTTAAGAGTGTTGCTGTATAAAACAAAACTAGTTATAAATACATTACAATATTTTAATATCTACAACGATGATCTTCCAGGCGCTCGCAATAGAGATGAATTTTTATGAATGTTATATTTATCCAAAGGTGGATTGGCACATATTTGGGTGTATTGGGCAACATGGTCATCTTGTTGGCGGGTATTTTTGCAGTGGTAGAGAAAAACACAATCAATGCAGGTTTGGCTGGCCTGTCGTTGTCTTACGCTTTAAGGGTAAGTATGGGAGGTGGCAGAAATGGACATAAGTTGCATGATATTGAGGCGACATTAGAAGAATACACAAATTAACAGTACTTTCTTCTTGTTTCAGATAACGTTGAATCTAATTTTATGGGTGAGAAATTCGTGCGAGTTAGAGACATATATCGTCAGTGTGGAACGAATCAAGGAGTATTGTGACACAGAGAATGAAGCCGATTGGAGATCGGACAGAATACTCCCAATCGGTTGGCCCACAGAGGGTACTGTAGAATACAAGGAATATAGCACACGTTATAGGAAGGGCTTGGACCTTGTTCTTAAAGGAGTTTCATTCAGTGTGAAACCAAGTGAAAAGGTAGGTATTTCGCAGGTAGATCCCTGCCTAGAGTAGATATAATAGCATCGTTTTAATTATCTTAAGATTTTGAAGTTATAAACCAATGATTTTTAGGTGGGAATAGTGGGACGAACTGGAGCTGGTAAATCATCTCTGACGTTATCACTGTTCCGCATAATCGAAGCAGCTGCTGGGGCCATCTATATTGATGGGGTTAAAACATCTGATCTAGGGCTTCATGACCTCAGGTCAAAACTGACAATTATTCCGCAGGTTAGTTGTCAACTGACACCAGTTTCATTTTATGATGACCTCGTGCATCTAAATTAAAAAAATCATTTTCATTTGTTAAATCTTCCGTTGCCCTTTTTAATTCATTTAATTTATACCACTTTATCATTTATTGTACTTTTATACCTATATCATATCATAATTTCATGTTTATCTAGGACCCTGTTTTGTTCTCTGGGACTCTCCGCATGAACGTCGACCCATCAGAAGAATACACAGATAGGGCAATATGGCAAGCCCTGGAGCATGCTCACCTTAAAGATTTTATCCGCTCTCTTACGCTTGGACTCGACCATGAATGTGGAGAAGAGGGGGAGAATTTAAGGTAGGCTTCATCTGCACTTGTAGGGAGAATATTTCACCGGGTGGCTGTTCCCAGAAATGTCGTAGATTTGTACGATTAGGACATTTCTGGAAAAAGCACCTAACCCTGCTGTCGCACCTTATTAAGCCTCAGTCACATTGCTCTACGGCGGGTGGCCGTAGTTTCACAAAACTACACTCGTACTACGGCCGACGCACGATTGCCGTATCGATCAAATGTGACTGAGGCATAGTCGTCTGCTTCTACCGTTAGATGGAGAGTCCAAAAATTATAACATACAAACGCACAAACGTACACAATTTATTATCGTTACTTTTAGCGTTGGACAGCGACAGCTTTTATGTCTGGCACGAGCTTTGCTGAGAAAGTCCAAGATTCTCGTTATGGATGAAGCGACAGCAGCAGTTGATCTTGAGACCGATGACCTAATACAGAACACGATTCGAACAGCATTTAAAGATTGTACTGTTCTCACTATAGCACATAGGTTAAATACCATAATGGATTATGATAGGTGTGTATACGTTGGTAAAGCTGTAGCATGTTTTAGAAAATAGACTATTCAGAAGTAAAAATTATTTTCTTTCTACTATGCAATAGATTGTCTTAATGTCTTATCCCCATTTGAAAATTTAACTGCTATTCAAATGACGTTTTGACTTATACTGCCAAATTGAAATGGTATCATAAAATAGCCAATTATGACTGCACATATTATATTTTGTTTCTCAAACATTGATGATTGTGCTTTCTCACATTGACATTTGAACTCGTTGGCATAATTCCATAGTATTACTTACAGCTGTCTCCCACACAAATGTTCTTGGGCGATTGGAGATGTATTTGTATACAATGGTTTACGTAAAATAAACGTACCCTTTTAGCAACCATCGTAAACAATTGAGGATAACTCGATTGTTATAGAGATACATTAAAAATATCCATAAAGAACTTAATATTACGAATGCTTGAAAATAGTGTTTCATTGACCATATTGGTGTTCAAATTTGACTACCTATATTCAAATTCAATATTCAAACTTGGCTGTTGTGTAAATATATTGCCCATTAATATAAATTCAATATTCAAACTTGGCTGTTATGTAGATATATTGCCCATCGATATAAATTCAATATTCAAACTTGGCTGTTATGTAGATATATTGCCCATCGATATAAATTCAATATTCAAACTTGGCTGTTATGTAGATATATTGCCCATCGATATAAATTCAATATTTAAACTTGGCTGTTGTGTTAATATATTGCCCATTAATATAAATTCAATATTCAAACTCGGCTGTTATGTAAATATATTGCCCATCGATATAAATTCAATATTTAAACTTGGCTGTTGTGTTAATATATTGCCCATTAATATAAATTCAATATTCAAACTTGGCTGTTGTGTTAATATATTGGCCATTAATATAAATTCAATATGCTAACTTGGCTGTTATGTAGATATATTGCCCATTAATATAAATTCAATATTCAAACTTGGCTGTTGTGTAAATATATTGCCCTTTCATATTAAAGATTTTTGTGCATTTTCAGAGTGATGCTGTTGGATGCAGGAAAGGTTGTTGAATATGATAGTCCATCTCAACTTCTCTCAAATAAGAACGGCGTTTTCTATAGCATGGCCAGAGACGCCGGCCTCCTTTAACTGAACACCGTGAAGAAGATATGATCGTATTTTATATCATCGATGATATCTTCTGATGGAAAGAGACACTCGGCATTTAACAAGACGCTTATATTAAGATTATGACATGGTGTGATATGATATGATATATATATATGCGATATACGTCCTGGACAGAATGAGTACAATACAAATATGATCATATTTTATAAGTAAAGCTCAAGAGAAGTGCAATAAATATCATACTGATCAGTACTATTATATAAATAAATGAAAATGTTTATAAGGGTTTAATTTTGTATTGTTTAGTTCTTGTATGACCCACATTCTAAACATCAGAGCATCAATTACTGTAGCATACTACTCTCTTTTTACCATTTCTATATAGATATATGAAGATGAATCAAAAGATGTGAGTGTTGGTAGTACCGGAATACCATTCATATATGGTTTAAAACAAAATGGTGGAAACAATTGCACATTTGGACATCGATACATTGGTCATTGTTAAAACATGGCAGCTTAATGTAAAGAAAACGGGAAGTGGAAATTCATTCATGGTAACGGAATGCTATATATTCTTAACTCGTATAGCAGTCCCACTTATTTTACCCACCGCTTTGACACGAAAACGAGTAGACTAACCTCACTTTCCTCCAGTGAACTCCGATATCCAGGTCCTAAAAAGGGTTACATTAACGCTTTAGAATTTATACCTGGAAAATGTGAGCTATTTGTGTTAGACAAAGGAGTTCTTCAGAAAATGCCATCATAATCACAAATAAGCAAATATCTACGAATGAATGAATCGCGATCGGCGTTTGGGGAGTGGTGACTTAGACCATGTCTTGAGGCATCACCCGTTGTGAACACGCTTCAAATCATGCAATCTGTGTCAAATATGGTGAGCGGTCTCGTTTGGGGGACCTGGGAAACATAGCCTAGTCTAGTGTCTAAGCTTCCCCGAACCACCGTCAGTGATTATGTGACAGGTAGAGTATATTTAGTTGTCCCCGATTTGTTTTTGTTTTGGGATTGTCTCCAGTTGGAGACAGTTAGTTGGGTACTCAGTAAATTGGTATCATAGTTTGGTTGTGTTTGCAGGTTGTGCCCGATTGTATTTAATAGTGTAGTTTAATTGATTCAGTATTGGGTTGTGACTGACTCTGTTGCGGTGGTTGGTGTCAGGTTGTGTTGTGTTGGGTTGATTTGAGTTTAGTCTCGTTGGCTATGTTGTGTTGTGTTGGTTTGTTGTTTGCTTGTGCTCGATTGTCATCGTTATCATACGTCAATTTACCAATAAATGGTGGTGAAACATTTCTGTGTATCTAAACATACACTTATAATTTTATATTATGTGAAATAAATAATTAGGCGACTGTTATTCCTGAACCTCATTTCTCGGAGTCCTTGAAATCCATCCTCCGATCACAGGGCTTCAAAATCCAGAATATATTCTTCCTTTTTACGGGGGAAGAAGGAGGTACGGATTCTGGATACCTGCTTAGGAGGATGTTGAAATCTGATGCTTATAGATATAGAGTGTCACTGAAATATCTTCCGGTAGACTGATTAATGCACTCGTATTTTTGAACCAGGTGTATATCCTGCGATCTGCAGTCCTGTCTCATTACCCAACCCTCCAGATACATATAATACTGAATGATAGGTTCAGCAAACGAAAAATAAAATATCTAATATTATAATAACATAAATCATATAATATATATTTATTTATCTACTTATTTATTTCGACCTAAACTTTCAGTTGCTCTCTTTTGCATGCAAATGTGCATCAAGCTATACATATATGCTGATAAAACAAATATTAAATTAAGAACACTAAAGTAGCATTCCTTTGGAATATTTTATATACATTACTGATTTAAAAACCTTTAATACAATCTGATAACATATAATACATAATTAGCTTGATACATAATTTGATTGAAAAATTGTATGTTTTTGAAAAAGCAATTAATAAAAACGAAGTCGGTGACCTCTTATTTTTATTTTCCTAAGATCAACTTTAGTTATTAAACTTTCCAATGTGCAAAATATTTAAAAATCCTGTCATTCAGTTTTTGAGATAATACAGCTTCCCACCCAGGGACAGTCTCCTAATCCCATACTCTCCATTAGTTTCCTAACATAATGGAGCAATGTAGGGGACACCAACTTTTCTGTTTGATCGAAGCAAAATTATGGCATGGTCATTTCAGTTTAAAGGGTATAGCACACTACTATACCTAACACCTAGAAATGCATATGATACTTTGTTTGTCTAATTGAATTGTTTAATATATTTTTGAAAGTGCCTTACTAGCATCTAATTTTCAACCGATAAACCATTCATAAGGAACAGACAAATAAAAACAAATACATAATCATTACTAATAAGCCAAATGAGTTGCTCATGAACACCAAATGCAAGGTATAGTAGAGTGTATAGACTTTTATTGTACATCATTTTAGGTCTCTGTTTAAACTGATACATAATCGGGGATGATCATTTTTACACATCGATTGTATGTTGAACCACTTTCAATCAGAGCTATAAACAATGACGTATAAGCCACAGCCGAAATAGCTCAGTTGGGAGAGCGTTAGACTGAAGCGGCTGCTATCCTTGAGACGCCAGGAATCTAAAGGTCCCTGGTTCAATCCCGGGTTTCGGCAAGGAAAATGAGGCTTATTTTTATTAAATTTTCATTTATATAAATAATATGTTTTTTAATTATTTTAACGCTAACGATGGCATTTCTTCGTGTATTTGGATCTGTTAACTGTCTTATATTTTCACAATAAACTCATCAGAAATTAAACTTCGTCGCTGTGCTTCTTCGGCACCACTCCAAATGGGCGGAGTGCTCAGCCGGTTTTCTAAAGATTTATACATTATTGATATTACACTGCCTAAAACATCATGGGCTTCATAATTTTACATACTTTATATCTTGATGTATAATGGTCAAATGGCTTGTATTGATTTTTATTATCTCGTTTTTATATGTTGCATGTTTTGCTGTCAAATTATTTGTTAGAGCTCGCTTTTTACATACATGAATAGAATTGTTCAAACATACTGCCTAATTGTCATGACATTTGGTTTATATCTGCTCTTTGACATAGAGTATATGTGAGTGTCCCATTTTTATGGTTTTGAAAATAGTTTACTTTCGTTTGATTCCGGAACCTACATTGACAACTTTGATTTGATTTTAAAAAACAACAAGTAATTAGAACAGAGGACTTAACTTTTATCTATTTTGGGGGGGGGGGGTTGTTTTAAGTTTTTGCATACTTAATTGTAAAATCAACCAAAATTTCCTTTCTATAACTATAATATTGAGAGGTCTTAGAAAATGTTGTATATGCTATTTTGTTCTAACAAGGTTCGGAAAGACATCTTATATCGTTCTCAAAAAACAATTGCACTAAAAAACAAAAATGTTACAAAACAGTTATATAAAATATATAAAAATAATTTTTCCATTAAATTGTTGCCAATCGGTCAACATTACATAAAGGACCGTGTATGTTTACATCCAATGTTTTCAATAATTGGTTTAAGAGAAAAACATTGTTGAATTCAGTTCACCATATCGATACCTATCCTTTGGGTCCAAAATTTCCCCTCCACTTGATTTTCAGATCCACCTCTGTCATGCCTGTATCATGTGGTGGCGCCATGTTGAGTACAAATCACTCATTATGACGATGCTAGCCAAAGACAACCAAAATGACAGGAAAAATTTAAGGTTACAGTCTTTTATTTGCATTTTAAGGTGTCAGTTTATGATATATTGATGTATAACATATACCTGAAGCCGAAGGGCCCTTCTGTAAAGACAATGAGTATTATATGAAGTGCAGATATTTCACAACAGTCGGTACGTTTGTAATACACCTTGGAGATAACAAATCAATGTTCCCTTTTTATAAAACTGGTGTCACAAGAGGTGACATTCTAGATCTCGGGCACACATTGACATACTACAGTAGGTTTTTGCAGAACAATAAGTAATAGAATATTGGATATGAGCCGCAAGTCCCCTTCTAGTGTCTTTAATAACAATTTAAATACCATTTGTGAAGTTACAAAGGAGCAGTATCAATTTCGATTGGTCGCTGAACGCGCGGAGTACTCTGCATGTGCAACGAGAGGGTGAGGATACCAAGTTAAGTAAATCAGATGTTTTCATCGGTTCAAGTAATTATACGTCGTCTAGTTTCTACATATTCATCTATGCTAACATTTCTGTTAGTATCTGATGTAAACAATGTTAGCATCGATGTGATACCAGATACTAGATTAGTATCTAGCTAGACTAGAACGTGTATCGTATGTATTAAATATATATAGGGTTGGCCAAAAACATCCATTTTTGCAATAGCTAGTGTTGACCAATTGAACCACTTTGAAGTAATATAGTTAAACAGTATTAGCACACCGAAATAGCCTGACTACGGTAAAGTCAGATACCGTTGTCACAAATGGCGGACATAACCGTCGCTTCAACTGTTAAATCACTTGGTCCTCAGTTCATGGGATTTTATCGTCCCTAATTCTGTGCATGCATTAAGCTCTTGTGATAATGCATCATATGAAATGCCATTTTCGGTCAAATTGGGTCCTGAATCGCCAAAATATAGCGTCTTCGATATCGTCAATGACAACGGAATCTGAATTTGAGTAATTTAGAAAGACAACGGCATATGGTAATTACAGAGTCCGTTGTTCCGTATCTCATTTTGATCGGTTAAATTAAAGATTTCGATGGTAGACCATTATTACCTGTACAATGAGTATTAAGACACTTTGATTGATTGTTGTTCCTAAGGAATTTAGTCTAGGTGCTCTATTAAACATACAGTTCATGAAAATCTAATTGAAGCGACGGTTATGTCCGCCATTTGTGACAACGGTATCTGACTTTACCGTTGTCAGGCTATTCCGGGCTGATTAGATTCCTTTCAGTTAAAATAAAACACTTAAGACCCTAATTCTTCATTAGTGTTATATTGTTTTTACAGAACCTACGTGAAGCGTGCTGGTAAACATTCAACCAAAACCATTACCTGAAATATGGATTCTGAACTAACATGGCTTCCAACCGTCTGCGGAAATTCTTCTCGGAAATGGGCATTCTGGGTAATCACAGTTGTTAAAATTTAGTGAAACCTTCATTTTTAGTGGAGAATATAATCAACAGATGATTACATGCAGCTGTGTATTAGGTATCGATCGATGTGATTCTGTTCCTAAAAACATTTTATCGCTTCGTTTTTAAGTCGGTCCGGTAATATTCAATACATTTTTCAAATGAAAACAAATATTGTATTCAGGATAATGATCTGACCATCAACACCACTACTCCAGAGTTCACATTATGCTTCCAATATACCGTGTCAGTGTGGGTTCCAAGTGCATACCTTTGGCTCATCCTTCCCTTCTTTGCCATTTACTTAAATTGGCTTCCAACCGTTAACACATGGAGAGACAAAAGCTGGATTAACTTCATCAAAATAGTAAATATTATACGTTTTTTATTATTTATTTATATAAGGTCCCCTTCAAAGGTTTTGATTCAAACACATTAAGTCAAGTCAATGTACCCTGCCTAACTTGTGAAAGGAAGTGCCTATCAAAAATGATCAAGAACAAAAATCCCCGTCATCTCAAAGTGAGGCTCACAAATATGGACTACTGAGCTTATATTTACTTTTGGAGAATGTAGTTTATTCGAGACAAAAAGTATTATTTGAATATTATCTTGCCGATGTGAATATCAAATTATTCTTTTTATTTTAAAGCTAAAATCGAGAAGGGAGAAGAATACGAAAAACAAGTCACATGATCTTTGAAGAAGTTGTATTTTCATAGCGAGAGAAAACTGGATCTTATTTTTTTCATATGATCATGAGACTACATAACAATGAAGTGTCAAATACATTCTCATTAGATATGTACATTATAATGAATCATATCAAGTAGCGCAGTAGCATAAACCTTATTTCATACATTGTTTTTGATGTAGTTTTTAGGGAGTTTGATAACAGTAACACTAATTGTTGATTTTGCATTGCGTCTTGCGGGTGATCCGACTAAAGTTGCTGTTTATCTTGCTTCAGTACTATTAATTCTAACATCGGTGAGTACTTAGAATCAACATCGTAAACAATATAGAACACCATTTCTTCAATATAAGCCAAGACTAAAGGATCTGCCTCAACCCTTGACATTATGCAGTCTCACTATACAACTATTTAGATGTGCAACATTTTTTATTAGAATCGATTTATCCTGTAATCAAAAGAAAGACAATACCAAAAGTATGATAAACACCAGGCTCAATGTAATCATGTTTATGGAAACACTTTGGGTCTTGAGCATGTTATGGCAAACTGGGCCAGCTTCTTTAAAGTAATCAAAAATTGTAAATAAACCCTTTTCAGTTATTAGCAACGATACTGTCCCACATCGAATATAGCAAGAGAATGCACACGTCCTCAGTTCTTGTGATATATTGGTCACTGGCATGTGTAGGAGGACTGGGTCGACTTCTTACATATGCCTCAAATACTGAAATAGAGGTTAGAATTAGTTTGACGGTATCTAGATATATCAAGGAACTGACAAAGAACTGTTAAACGTGTCTTAATTGGCTTAATATGCAATTTAAACCAATATAAGTGTAGATATCCAACAATTGTAGACTATTGATAACAAATGTCCATCTGGTTCTTCTGGAAACACGACCTATACCAGGTCACTAGTGACCTAGATACTAGGACACTCATGTATTTCTTTACTTATATGAATTAAAAGCCATGACATTTGTTGATAAATGCAAACAAAAACATGTTTTGCCTTTCTTCACTCCTTTAATTTTGAGAATGACAACTGCACTCGCCAACGACATCATTTTTGCCACAAAACTCATTTGAAATCAATTCTATCAAGTCAGATACTTACTTCTCAAAATATACTGTTTCAGGATAGGGAAGTTCCTCATGAAATACTCTTTTGCATATACTACGTCTTAGCATTTGGTGAACTTATCCATCACTTTATTCCTGACTTGAAAGCGAAAACCGTTGCTGAACAAAGAATGGTAGAAAATGAAGAAGAGAAAATCCCTTTGCTGAAACCAGTACAAGAAACCTTACCCGAGGGGTTTGGATATGCTGCAGAACTCGCACGGATTCCAATTAAAGTAATATAGATTTTGTATAGAAAGAGACGTCGCTCGTCTTTAAGTACATGTAGCTCTCATTTTGCAACCAAAATTAACATACAGGTAGAAGCACTCATATATACCACTTACATACGAAATTGACTCTTTTCTTACAGCAACAATGTCCTCAACGATCTGCAACTGCATTTTCAAGATTTGTTTTCTGGTGGTTTACTAGGTAATAAAAAGAGTTACAATTAGCGTTATGTTGAACCTTTATTGAACATTGCATTTCGAGATACACTCCCCTCCATAAGTTTGGCAACCTTAGCTTCCGTGCGTTTATTGGCAAATACCCATATGGTCAAAATGAATTATTCTTAGGTGTAACATGAAGAATAGAATGTCATATAACTCTTTGAAAAATATTAAAGTGCTCGGGCACACATAGCCTGAGATAGGGGCCATTTAGTTAAGTAAGGTTGTATTGACTTACATGGGGCTGTGCATCATTGACTTAACATGAGGATGTCAGCAGATCCCAATAGAGGCCATTGGTTTCCATTGATTATCACAAAAATACCAAAAATACACTATGACCTGAATCGATTGCAAACTTAATAATTTCACAATATGACACAAATGGTTTATCTCATCAAATCTGCAAATATGAAGATTGCAATCGATTCAGGTCGTACTTTAAATTAAAAGATTGTGAATTTTTCATCATTTTTTCCCTACAAAATGGCTCTAGAAAAATGCTCCAAAACTTCATGATTGAATTGTGATCCCAATAAGTGGCCTATACACCACAGTGCTGAATATAGGTCAACAAGATACTAGTGTGCGCATATGTATGTAATAATAAAGGCAGTATACTCATTTTGAAAAATCAGATGAATTAATTTTTTTCATGGGGAGATCATAATGGAGAACGCACTACTTCCTGTGATGAATATTTGAAAATCTTCATCCCCATGTTAACCAATGGGAAATGGTGGGTTCGGGGTAAATCAGAAATCAGGATATCTATTCAGTAAAAGATTCAGCAAAAAATGTTTTTTATATAGAAAATTTAATTGTCTAACTTTTCTACGCCAAGTGTTTAGTTTACTTGATGAATACTAAAGTTACAGAGCTTCAAAGTCATTTTTGAAAATCATTTTGCGCCTCTTGTGTTATTTCAATGGGAGAGGTTTTTGAAAACAACTTTGACTTAAAAGACCTATAACTTTGAAACGAATCAATTTTTGTTAAAATAAAGTTAGCAAATTCAATTGCCTACCTAACTTGAATTTTTTGCAAGGACTCGGATGGATGGATATTCTGTCATATGATTTGCGGCATTTTCCATTGGTTAACATGGGAATGTCGATTTTCAAAAATTCATCAAATTTATCATTAAAGGAGCACGTAGGTTATCGCAAACAATTTCAGAAGGTTATATCTTGGATTATGACTATTTTCTGACATCGAAGACAGGTTTATCTTTTAAATCAATTCATTATCTCTCTATATACAGTAATAATAAAGTCAAACAAACCCGGAGATATTTAACTAGCAATCAACCCTTCAACACCCATTTTTCAAAGATGTTGACCCCATTTTCACCAAAAATGCAATCATTTTTTACAATGTTTAATGCATGACTATTCTTTATTTTGATGTATCGAATATTTCTTGCTATTCATTGGTTTCAGTTCATTTTGGTCTTCCAAATTCAGTACCTGTAAAGTCCCTGGAGCAATCAACTTTTTCCTTTAGGAAATCGAACATGTCTCAAAGCACATTCTAATTATGCGTTCAAGAATATAATAAAAGGTTGCATTTTTGGTGAAAATTAGGTCAACAGTTTTGAAAAAGTATGTTGATTGGTCCATTGCCCCTTCAATATCACTTAGGTCTGATTGACTTAATTATCATTATATATACTTTTCTTGAAGATAATGAATGGATCTAAAAGATACACCTATGTTCATGATCAGAAAATATTCATAATTCAAGTTAGAATCGTTTGAAATTGTTTGCAATAATTTACGTGCTCCTTTCGACCTATTGTAAATGAGGAAAAAAATTGAGAACATTTGGAGGTATTGGAAATAAAGTCAAATTACGTTTCCATCAATAGTACAAGTATTTTCTTCGCAGGCTAAGTAAATAAAAAGGTAAATAAAAGGTATAGAGGCTTTAATATGTAGTTCAATGGGGGAGCTAAGGTTGCCAAATTTATGGAGGGGAGTGTATCATATCGCATATCGCATTACAATAGCATCTTAATTTAGATTCATTTACACGGTATGCAATTTTCATGGATTTGAAAGGTTTAGATACATAATTAGTTAATCCTATTAGGCTAATAAAGTATGATCTACTGTTCCAGTTTGATTATCAAAGGATACAAGAAACCATTGCAGTTCGAAGATTTATGGCCAGTGCGTCTAGAGGATAGCTGTTACTACATTGTCCCACGTTTCAAGAAGTTTTGGGCTGCCGAACTTAGAAAAATCAAGACAATTATAAGGTTTGCCATATAAAAGAATAGTCCAGCCTTTACATAGCTTGAGTCGGTCAAATACAAGTAAGGCATATTAATCGTTTGGACTTATTTCAGAGAACCAACGTATAAATATACGCACAATAAACCATATCAGAGCAACGGATACACACTATTGGACGAACAGACTCACGTAATGACAGCCCTGGATGTCGATACAGCTACAAGGCAGAAGCCTAACCTATTATGGGTTTTGGTTAGAGCGTTTTCGGCAGAATATATTTTGGTTGGAGGAACCGTAGTGTTGATTGTTGTTATCTTCCAGATGGTCATGCCACAATTCTTACAGTAAGATATCAAATGAAAAAGATATATCATAATTAAATCATAAAATATATCAAGAAATGTTTTTTGATAGAAAATTTCTTTATAAGTCATCAAATGTTTTACTCCCTGGACAGTCAATATTGCGTAATTGTATTTGTTTTATTTGTCAACCGTTCTGGCCCTTTTATGTCACTTTTCATCTTAGGATAATTTTGGATCTGCTAGAAAAGGACGTATTTTACAGTTGGCAAGGAATAGTTCTTACCGTAGTATTGGCGTTTCTCTCATCTGTTACGACGACTCTTGCGATGCATCATTATCATTACGGCGTCCACCTTGGACTCAAGTTTCGCTCTTGTGTTATGGCAATCGTTTTCAGAAAGGTATGCATGTCGTATCTACATTTAACTTCATTGCAAGTATAGAATGAAATGAATTTTTGTGCCATGACTCGACGGTATGAGGTATAAGGTATTATATATAAAACAGAGAGAGAACTCTTCACAAGGAAACAATCCCCAATTTCCCAAACATCGACCTGACGTACAGGGAAATGGTGTAGTGAACATTTCTTTCTTTACCAAGCAGGATTTGCTCCCATGGTTCCAACTTGATATTTAATCTTGACCCTGGTCGATATCAACATTGAATCGAAAATGTCCTCATTTTCTGACATTATAACTGATTATAAATTCATAATCAGCGATCCAAACGATTTGAACTAATATCTTGATCATTTCTTGTGTGGTTTGGAATTTTCAGTTTTGAAATAAGACCAAAATACGCGATTCAAATTCTGGAGTGAAAAAATGTTGGTAGAATATCGAGATTCAATCCTGTGAGCCAATCCTTGTTTCGGAACATTGTTCTTTGGCCAACTGAATTGGTCCTTGTTAGATAAAAATCGAGCCAAACGAGCCTATTTTTCAGTCGCTGAAACTGAACAGCGCTGCCAGGAAAGGAACGACTGTTGGTGAAATTGTCAACTTGATGAGCGTTGATGCACAGCGGCTTCAGGTACAGCAGAGACATTTTATTTGTCTCTGGGTACAGTAATATCCTATAATACCTTGTATCTAAGAATAAATCACAAAATAGATACCATTAATTTATTCAAACTAGAACATTTATTACAGGAGTAGGCTAAGTTAAGCATTCGAGATTATTTAGCTAATGAGAGCATATAAAAACAAAGAAAACATCATTATTAAAATCAAAATTTTGTCCAGGAATTACCATATATGACTCATTGGATCTGGGCTGCCCCACTCTTCATAGCATTGAATGTGTATTACCTCTGGCAAATCCTGGGACCATCTGCCGTCGCTGGGCTCGTACTTATGGGAGTTGTGACGCCTTCAAATGTACTCTATTTTGCCAAAAGAGTAAAAGCTCTTCAGGTTAGTGCTTTAATGTAACGTATACATTTTTATTCGTGGTTTACGAAATTGAGATACACAAAAAATTGGCATCAAAATATAGAAAAATGACATAAGTTTTTATATATTCTAGATGGCAAATCAAGTTTTACGCATAGATTCAGTTGGATACTTTAATATATTTATTTATTCATAAATTCCATTAATGTATTAGTAAACCTTAACATTTGAAATTACTTTTTCTTATCAGATTTTTTTCAGATTAATAAAGCCCATGACACTCTCCTTTCAAATGGTGTATTGGAACCATGACACTCTCCTTTCAAAAGGTGTATTGGAACCATGACACCCTCCTTTCAAATGGTGTATATTGGAACCATGACACCCTCCTTTCAAATGGGGTATTGGAACAATGACACCCTCCTTTCAAATGGGGTATTGGAACAATGACACCCTCCTTTCAAATGGTGTATTGGAACCATGGACAAATTGGATCATTTATTTCACCTTTGAAGTTCATCGTTTCCTCAATTATGATACATTATGATAACACAAGGAAAAAGAATATATACCGTTAATGTGGTACAATTTCATTTATAGGAGTCTTTGTAAAATATGTTCCAGGTGGATCAAATGTTGTACAAAGACAAGAGAATTAGATTGACCAATGAAGTTCTGGGTGGGATAAAGGTAATTTTAAAAATAAATCTATTTTACGAATATTAGAAATGAAAATATAAGCATGTATTTTCAAACGGGAACCATGGATTATCATAAATGTAACAGTTAACGAATTTATAAAAATTCATGTTCAGTTCAACAAATTGACCAGACGATGACCAGCACCAAAACATTTAATTTTTCTTTTTCATATAGGTACTAAAACTGTATGCATGGGAAACCTCTTTTGAGAAAGAGATTGCTAAGATACGAGAACTAGAATTGGCCATATTGAAGAAAATACAGTTCCTGAACGCAATGAGTGCAGTCACGTGGTTCTGCACTCCCTATTTGGTTCGTACTCTTACGATTTGATCATTTATTATGGCCTAGTCACATAGCCCGGCCGATGGCCGGCATCGGAAGAGCTCGGTGGATTTTTTTGGTGCCACAGAGCTCTCTTCATCGGAAGCAGAGCTCGGTGACGTGAACGGACTCCGTCCGGACATCTTCAGGCGACCGACCGAACACCGGCGGTGACCGTACGGAGTCTGTCTCAAAATGGTAGTTTTTTTCTGCCGATGTGGCAGCAACTACCGGCCGGAGGTCGGCCGGACATCGGAAGGAATACGGCCGGTACCCGAGCAGGTAACAGGACACCGTGCGATCGCCGGCCGGGTTGTTAACGGGCTTTGAACAGTGACCGGCCGATGCTCTGTCCCACATCGGCCGGAGCTCGGTCGGAGCTCGGCCGCTGTCCGTTAAAAAACCGCGTCCTCTGGTTGTCTCAGATGCACGGGACACCGGCCGATACTCGGCCGTGCACCGGCCGACGTGTTTTCCGATGTGGTTACGATGGGGCTGCGATGACATGATGAGGGAGCTCGGTGAGAGCCCGGTGAAATTTAACTCCGAAGTTAAAATTTCACCGAGCTACCACCGATGCTGTTTTAAGCAACAAACGCCACGGATGTCCGGCCGGTGTTCGGCCGAGTTTGGTGAAAATTGCATCGCTGGCTCATCGTAACCTCATCGGCCGGGCTATGTGACTAGGCCATTAGGCAACGACTTATCAATAGGATATCTTGAAAGTTGGTCTCGAACTTTCGTGTAGGCTTCTCCAACGCTCACGATATACTTCAAGGCATCTCATTGGATGTTACCTCGTGGAACCTGCAGGAAATCTGCGTGGAACCCCCTAACCAACGTATTTATAGATTAATGGAACTTTAAAATTCTCAACTGTTAAATCTCAACGCAATGTATCAAAAGTAAATGTATAGCATCGTGATACACCACGCCATCTCATTTCTTCTCAGCCCTGAGATGTTTCAGGTGAAACAGAAAGATGCTATGAGTATCATAATGAAGTGTGTAGTTGGATGAATGTTGTTTCAGGTGTCATTTGTATGTTTCGCTATGTTCGTCTACATCGATCCTAACAATGTTCTGGATGCACAGAAGGCCTTCGTGTCATTGTCTTATATAAATACACTGAATACTCCCATGTCATCTTTACCCAACGCCATTACTAGTTTAGTTCAGGTTAGTCATCAGATAATACCAAAAACCTCAATAGATTAAGAACTAGAAATCGAAATCTCATCAGTTGAAATATTTATGAAATTTATGAAATTTGGAATTATGATACTCTGAGAAAGGAAGTGAAAGAAGGTGGGGATTTCTCAAGATGCGTGTGTTGCTCATTATAATCACTAACACCCAATTACAGTTGATCTACTTTCCTGACTTTCCTTCAAGGCACTAGTTTCAATAGACAGGATTACTAACTTTCTACTATTAGATGAGATAGATGAGTCAGCAGTTACACACAACCCTCCGCCAGGTGACGCTATCAGTATCCGTAAAGGAGAGTTCACGTGGGATAAAAATGAGGCAGCAACTCTGAAAAAGTAATATACATACAGTAATTCATTTCAATCGAACGATACAGATTTAATTTAATTTAATTAGATTATGGGAACTGTTTGCTTGTATAGTTAGTCAAGCCAATGCATTATCTCCCAGGAAAATACAGGTTGTCACAAAACTATTTAATGGTACATATGTCCATGGGCTTTCAAGAGAAGGCCATGATATGTCATATACCATTTCAAAATAAATTGATAGCATAAACCTACAGGCCATAGTAAATTGTTTGTATTTGTATGACCTCTCTTTGAGGACTAGTACTGTGATTCAAAACATTTCTTATCAAAACTGTAGCAATTGGTAATCCTTGTTAAAAAGGGGGGTTTTAACATGGTTATAATTTTTTTAATAACTGGGGAAAATGCATCATCTTATTTTATAACGTTTTCTTCAAGTACTCCCATTCTAAATTTTTTCTCGCTGTATTTTTTCTTACAATTAAACACAGATTATTCAATTCGTCGCGCAAAATACACATTTAATATTTTGCCAGACAATGTCTGTATTTTACGAGGCACAAGTCATCTGCGCATGCTTCCATTTTCTAATTTTCCAATTTTAGTTTATATGATGTCGCACAAACAAGTATACTGATGCATGTATTTCTTTTCAGTATAAATATGAGTGTAAGACAAGGTGGCATAGTCGCTGTAGTTGGTCAGGTTGGATCTGGAAAGTCTAGCCTTGTGTCTGCCATGTTAGGCGATATGGTCAAAATTGATGGATCTGTTGACGTTAAGGTACCTCGAGTATTTTTACTGTCAAATACTATATTGATTTTTTCACAATGATTCATATTGTTCACTGTGTACCTGTTTACTTCTAAAATTGTACCGATATACAGAATTCAGGCTATTGTTCATGTTGTTTAGGGTAAAATAGCGTATGTGCCACAACAGGCGTGGATGCAATTTTCAACTCTCAAGGAAAATATCATATTTGGCAAGGAGAAAAGCGAACGGCTATACAAAAATGTGATCCAGGCATGCGCATTAGAAAGAGATCTGAAGATTCTTCCCGGGGGTGACCAAACAGAAATTGGTGAAAAGGTATACTAAACGATCATCCTCCGATCGCAGGGCTCTAAGATCCAGAATTCTTCGGATTTTTGTACCAGCATTAGTACTAAATAGACCAATAAAATAAATGATGCCATCTCTTTTTTCATTATTTTATTGACAATGATGTCATATTTACAGTGCCAGGGTAAATATGTAGTTAGATTTTGTCAATTGCAAAAATCCTAATTGAGTTAATGGATAGTTCTGTAAAGTATAACATTTATTATCTAATTTAATATGAATGTATACTCACGATTATATCCTGGTGTAACGTATTTTCCGCAGTTGCTTTGGTAACCAAAAGGAGTATGAAATTATTAGAAATAACTAATTGGAATGAGGATTTCACAAGGAGAGAGTTCAATGATATATGTAGACGTTTATAGATAAAAGGGCTCTGCTTTTTTGTTCTAGGGTATAAATCTAAGTGGTGGACAAAAACAAAGGGTGTCATTAGCAAGGGCAGTGTATCAGGACTGTGATATCTATCTTCTTGATGACCCATTGAGTGCAGTTGATGCTCATGTGGGCAAACACATCTTTCAGCAAGTCATTGGCTCCACAGGAATACTAGCTGGGAAGGTAAATCAATACACAGTAATTTCACGATGCATTATGTAAAATTGGTTGTGCACTTAGTAATTATACCAAACTATGTAAGGTTGAGGACTTGCTCTTTATTATGGGCATCTGTTCTAGTGCACTGCTACCCACCTAATTACACAGACGTATCGTCGGTGTATCATGGCATAACTTCCTCCGGGACTAGGTTTCGGTAAGATTTTTTTATTTCCCGATTTACACCTACTTATAAGTCACGTTGTGGATAATAATTTGGCTCGAAGGTAAGGAAGATAGTCTAGTTTGAGAATGTGTCGATGGTTTAAGGTTTTATATATTAACAAAGACACAATTCACGTATTTAGTCCCTCGCTTTTCTTACACTGACGAACGACCAATATCAGTGAAATATTGGCAATATTAATGCCGATCGTCAGTGTAAGAAAAGCGAGGGACTAAATACGTGAATTGTGCCTTTGTTAACATATAAAACCTAAAACCATCGACACATTTTCAAACTAGACTATCTTCCTTAACTTCGAGCCAAATTATTATCCTCAACGTGACTTATAAGTAGGTGTAAATCGGGAAATAAAAAAATCTTACCGAAACCTAGTCCCGGAGGAAGCTCCGCCATGATACACCGACGATACGTCTGTGTAATTAGGTGGGTAGCAGTGTAGTGGGAACGCAGAAATATTCAGGGTTTTGTTGATAACCACATACATGTCAATTCCAGACAAGAGTCTTAGTTACCCATGGAGTGAACTATCTACCTAAAGTTGACAAGATCATTGTTCTGAAAAATGGAAATATAAGTGAGATGGGCACCTATGAGGAACTGCTGAGTCATAATGGCGCATTTGCGGAGTTTATTCGAACATACCTAAATGAGCACGAGGATGAAAGTGAAAGCGAAAGTGATGCTGAGAGTAATAATATGATTTTATTCTTTTAATTAATATTGGGTAATATTTTTCATAACTTTTGAAATATAATGTTTCTAGAACCGTAAATAACCAAATGGTCCCACTCCGTAGCCAGCTTTTGCCAGCGGGGTTCTCTTTTCAAGAAATTCCAAGAGGAATTCACATCTGACAACTCTGGCCCAAAACTCTGGCTCAGAATGGTGAAAATGATGCATGATTTTAGAAGAATTCGGGTTTTAGCCAGGGGGCCTTGGTCCGTTTAATCACTGTTAGAATAGTTGTATAGTTTTATGTCAAAAATATTAATTGCAAAAACGTCAATTCAGGTGTTGCGCATATCAACGAATTACGACAAAGACTTACCTCTATGTCGGGCTTTTCTGGCCTCAGTGCCGATGATACCGCTGCAACTATGACGAGCGAGGGTGAATATTCCGAAGGCCAGCAAATTCGCAGACGGTATTTCTACTTGATAATTTTATAATCAGAGATTTTGTCGCAGTATCATCATACTTTCATTGGAAAGGATTGGTATCGATATGGCGAACTGAATCCAACATTGTTTTTCTCTCAAACCAATTTTTGAAAACATTCTTTAAAAACACTCCTTAATCTGTTAATGTAATTGTCACTGATTGACAACAATTTAATGCGAAAATTATTTGTTTACGTTTTATATTATTGTTTTACTTTGTTGGAACAAAATAGCATATACATCATTTTCTTAGACCTCTCAATATACTAGTTATACAAAGGAAAGTTTGGTTCGTTGAAAAAGCATTCAAAAAATTATAACAAAAAAACCCAAAATAAATAAAAATTAATTAAAAGTAAATGAATTTTATTTCATTAACAAGATACTTTTTTTAATTGAACCAAACTTTCCTTTGTACATATACAATATTGAGAGACCTAAACACGTTGTGAATATGTCATTTTGTTTTAATGATCGAGGTTCGGATAGATGTTCCATTTCATTCCGAACATATGATTCCGAGAACAAAAAAAAGTTTCTTATGTGTTTTCTAAAACATTATAAAGAAAGTGTTTTTCAAATTAAATTGTTACCATTCAAAAGGTGATCATTAAATTGACGATGTGTAAAATTTTCAGAGAAACATGTGTAATTCATTTCGCCATATCGATACCCATTCTTTCCCCAGAATTGTATTGGGAGTTATTTCTTTTTATGAAATTATTTGATTTTCATGATTTGGTAGGCGAAGAAAGAAATCGATGACCCTTTCAAAGTCAATTGAGTTGGAAAAAGAGAACATTGATAAGCAAATGAAAGCAGCGAACAAACTTATAGAGGATGAAACATCAGAAGAAGGAAGTGTGAGTTCAAAGATTATCTATTTACCCTTCGAATTACGAGGCTTTTGAAAATTCTGGCCCTTTATTTCAAAAATTCAGGCATTGATATAAGTATACAATATAGAGGAATTGGGAAAATATGCCGACCTAAAAAGGCCAATTTTAGAAAAATAAATATAGTCCCCAAGTATGGGAAAGGAGCCAAGCCCAACTTCACCCTTCCCCCTACCCCAGATTCGCCATCATCTGACGTTCGTTTAACCAAAATTAACAATTATTTCAGATCGGCCTTAATGTTATCAAAACATACGTTCATGGTGGTGGTTATCTGTGTTTCTTCTGGGTGTGTCTATCAGTGTTGGTGTACACCGGCTCACAGGTATATGCGAATGTTTGGCTAAGTGCGTGGACCGCCGATCCATTGGTGAATGGAACAAGACCTAAACAGGATACAGATTATCGCCTGGCTGTATATGGGGTTTTAGGACTTGTCCAAAGTAGGTGTATTGTCAAACTAAGAAATCGAATTAATCAATTTTCCGTTCAGTGAAAATGTTCAATGATTCATAATAAAAAAATCCAAGTGAAATATTACGAAAACCTCTCTGATGATTTTGATAAAATTGTAAACTTCACTAAGGTGCCGTGGTACTTACTACTTAAATGGACAAATTGCGTAAATGAAGTCTCACTTTTCATCTTCGTGGTAAGTGGTAATTCACTTCTTTTGATCTCTGAACTTCAAATGCTGTTTTCTATGCGAGTAATTTTTTCACTTTAGTATGGACCCAAATTAAAGTTTTTATCATATTTGATTGACTGTGTGAGTGACATGTTTCAAATAATATTTTGTCCTTTTCCTTTGAAAATAAGCGCATTGCCTGTAAACAGGAAGTGACAAAATATACTTCATTTTTAGACATTTTTTGAACAAAGATAACAGATGG